CAACAAAACAAGTTTCTGATGATGTTTTGGCCTTCCCCACCGAATGGTTCAACATCAAAGACCTTCTCGTGCTTCTCCTCCAACAGCCCAACCCTTTGAATAACATAATTTCTAGATCATTTCTATTAGGTTGGTGACCTTCTTGTCCCATCTCGACAAGAAGGAAGTTTGCTACCTTAGGACCTCTCCCTCGCCACAAATGCCGCCCTGCGGGACCCCTGTCACACGCCAAGCATGCCATGGACCTCTTGTGATGGCCAAGTTTGACCCCAAACGAGGGCTTCACCTCGAGAGGCGAGGCCCGTGCGCGACAACGAGTCGGTGCCGTCTGGGGACGGCAGAAGAAGTTGGAAGTCTAGAGGCTGGAATGGTGAGTGATGGCTATAACTAGATCCAATTTTGCAAAAGTGCTGCCTTGTCATCCAAATCCGTGGAAGATCCAGGTATATGTTGGGATGATCCATGTGTGCAGAAAGCCCTCCCTGCTCATTATGGAGTCCAATTGGGGCACAAGACATCCCAAAACAACGCTTAAGAGGACCCTGTAAAAACCAAACAACCTGGTTCTTCAAAGTGACCTTTTGATATCCCAGCTTGAGGTCACTTGGGCCTCTAAAAGGCCACTTCGAAGAAGCTTGCATATTGAAAATTATGTGGTTAAATGTCTTACAGCAATCAACATGAAACCAAAACGTTTTCCAGACCAAGCTGCTGATGTTCTCCCCAGAAGTCCTATCAACTCACACCAGAATCTTCCTCTCCCCACCGGTGCAACCAGGTCCAACCCCCGCTGCACCGGTCCCTTGCCCCCGCGCGGCGGCTCGCGCCGCGGATTTCCGCCACGCCTCGATGCCAACGAATGGCGCTCTGCCCATCGACCGCCTGGATCCGCAGGGTTCCGCGGGGATCTGAGGAGCTCTGGACATTGGATCCGATTTGGTAGGTCCCTAATCACGCAAGACCAAGAGAGGTTAAGTGACCTTATAAGACCTTACTGAGGTACCTGTGGGATAGGCTATATTATCCAAATCTTATACCGGGCCCTGCAAAGGGATAGGTCCGCCCTGATGGAAAAAAGAAACTGGTCCCTAATCATTACAGCAGTAGATGGCACTTGATCTCTGATCCGATTTGGTAGGTCCCTAATCAGTAGAACAGTAGATGGCGCAACAGTGCATGAAAATCTGCGGGCGGAGTGTGGAGTTCAGGGCAGACAAAGATCTGAAAATGCCTGAAGCGTCCGCACGGGTATGTGACACACGGTGGCATCTTGGGTAGTATGTCCCATGTTCTGGGACCCAGTGGATGATTATGGCTAGTAAAGGCCCTCTTCTAAAAGAGTGATCATTGTTTACCGGCCGTTGCAGGCAATGGGACACCCCCAACCCGTATCAGGACCCTCCAGCTATCTCCAGCTCAAATACTTGTGTTGACTAAGAACCACGGAATGCAGTCCTTAGTTGTCTTCTTGTGGTCTTAAGCCGACTTGCATACCAAATGTTGAAGAACCCTATAGATTGTTCCACTGGTAGGGTGCTTAAAATGTCACTTCACCTCTCTTGCATATGTGTTCGGTCGTCACCCCGGTTTGTTGATCTTGCGTTGGGCGACCTCCGGAAGCCCATCCGACTAAGCTGGCCGCCCAGCTATACTCGCAGTCGCCGACGCCCTGCAGGGTGTCGGAAGATGTCGGGGCGAGTGGCTGGTAGGTGAAGCTGTGTATATGGCTGCGAGAAAACAGGCTAGGATGCCTCCCTGCTATTCATGTTCAGCAGTCAATTAGGGTCCCTCTGTTTGGACCCAATGTCATCTAACTGCGGATCACCCTTCTATGAACCTCTTGATGCAACAAGACTGCCAAGCGGTGGTTTGTGATGGACGCACTTGAGGCCAGCGGGGCTAGGAAAGCGATCGGGCGTTCTGTGGCAGCGCGTCAACCCTGGCTAAGGATCAACGATGCTTACACTCCCGAAAACTAACAATAGACCCTGACAATTGCCCCCTGGAAGAGTGTTTTCCTCTACGAGTACCACCAACCAGTGGTTTTCAGGGTCCATGTTAGCCTTCCAGGGTGTATATCACCGCACTGACAAAGCTTTCACGCTGTCTTATCGACGCCCTACGGCAACAGCAGGTGACTTGCGCAAGTCTGTGCTGAGCAACGATGCTCCACGGCATCGTATCGGCTACTGGGAGGAGAGGGGGGGGGTTCCAGTGAACCATCACAGTGTTGGCCTCCCCGCCTTTTTTTTCGGCTTGAAAGCAAAAGCCAACTCAGAAACACGACCAGCTGCCCTTCATCAGACCATCATCCAGAATTCAAGACTGATGGCAGAATTCAGCTCACACAGTCCAACCCAAAGGTTTGAACAATTCTTGTTCGAACGAATCCCAGATTTGACGAACCCCAGGTCTCGTGGTTCGGCGAAGTGGTCACGGTTCGATCCGCGCGCTCAAGAAAACGCTCATCCGGTGAAGCGTCCAAGCTGAACAGGCTGTTAGGAGAGTGTTTCTTGGTAGTGTTGGGCATGTATGAACATATTTTACAATATACCTCTAAATACGCAGACCTCCCTATTCGACGCCCTGGAACCCAGGTTCGGGGCTCTTTTCGTTGAAGCCGGGCTGGGTGTCTCACGCCTTGCAGCGCCCTCCCGCCTGCGTGCTGGGCGCACCAGGTTGAAGTCGGAACTCCTGGTTGCTGCGCGGCGTTCCGGTGGACGAGAAAAGCATGTTCAATCGGCTGGTTGCCTGGCTGTGTCTCAAATCCGCCAAAAAAAAACAGCTCGGCTCCGTTTGGGGGATTCCAACATCTTCCCACCCTTCCAAGGGGCGGGAAGGGCTGGGGCGGACTGGATCGAACCTCAACTCATTGAAACCCGTTTCCCGTCCGGACCCGGACCGGCAAGGACCGGTTGGGGTAGAAAAACCAGGGTCACCCTGGAAGTTCAAGAGCATTTTTAGATATTGTGGACCTGGTGTTGTAGTGAACAAATCCTTAGCAAGATGATGGTGGTTCGGTCACCTAAAGTTGGTGGTTCCTTAGCAAGATAATGGTGGTTGGAAGCCTGGGATTCCCATCCAAAGTCTTTCACGAGATATATGAGAAATTGAAGATCTGGACCTTTTCGGTCGAAAGGGTGCTCTCCTACGGCTTAGTGTGCTTTTCCCCTCCACATTCCTAGCTTCAACATGTCTCAACTACTTTGCACCATACGCACCCTCAAAGACCTCCATCCAAAAGGGCTCCTTGCTTGCCAAGCCCACCTGTGGTGCTTCGGCACCTCCATGCGCCAGCGAGCGCGTGAGGCTGTTCAGGATCCGGAACCATATAACAAGCACACTGCCTAGAAGGGGGTTCCAGAGGGAATAAAAATAAATATATCATCCTATAAGATATCCCATACACCGTCTAGAAGGTGGATTCAACCATAGGGAACAAATCAATATCATCCCAAGAAAAAAACATGCAAAACTAGTCTTCATCATCTGTTGCCCAATGTCGCAACCCTTACGACACTGCTCTTGGAAGCCTTCCAGGACCGCAAAGCACTGGAAAGCTCGGGTGGTTCCCTGGCGCCAAGCACTCAGGTGGCGCTGCAGCGCGCAGAAGGAAGCGCGGCCCCGCACTGAGGGCCCCTAGCCTTCAATGAGGTTCACTTCGAAGTAATACTTTCCAGAAGCCTGGCCGCAAAGACGGCAAGGACTGCCATGTTTAGGTCGAAAAGTTCCAGGTCCTCTCGGTTCTCTCTCCCTCCCTCCCTCCCTCCCTTCCTCCCTCTCTCTCTCTTACTTGCTTTTTGAGTTCCCTTGTGCCTGCGTCAAAAGCAGAAAACAAATAAAACACATATATGAAAAGGATGAATATGGCATGGACAACCAGTCATCTATAGCACATGCTTTCGGAAGACTTCACGAACTGACCAACTCTGAAGCAGCCTGAGCCAACTGTGGGTAGCCCATGGTCACCCAATCCATCGCAGGGTCCTGGCAACGGACACAAGGCCGCCGGCAGCCCCAGCCTTATGACTGCGGGTCAAAACCCGGGGACCATGGTTGACCACAGAAAATGAACTACCTGTGATGTCAACCAACCCAGGTGTTTTCAACGGGTTCCGGGTGCCCGTTTCAGCCATATGGTCAAACCTCGCTGTGCGAAAAGCCATGGCCCGTGATATGCTGCAACAGAGGTTTAGGATGGTTTAAGTGACTTGAACTACTATAGGACCCGGAAAGCCTGGGGTACCCCACTGGGATCATCGAACCGTCGGGTTCTGACCCACCTGGATGGCTCCCAACCAAACCCTCCCAACGACCAGCTCCGCACGTCCTCGGTCGGCCCGCGGAGGAGCTCCGGGCGCACGGTGCCCTTGGCGGAGCCCGCCTGAAGTGCCGGAACCGCCGCGCGCAACGCGGTGTCACCGAGTGCGCTTGTCCCGCTGCAGGGGGGGGAGTGGAAGGTGTGAAGCTGCAGGTGGGAATGCCGTGGGTTGGGGGGCAGCTGCATTCCCATGAAGTCCTGATCTATTTAGACCCTCTTCTTAGGGTAGTTTGGTAGTGATCGGTCATGCGCAGGTCAGGAAAAATGAGTCGTTGATAGCCCCTGGAAGTTCCAGGGAAACCTGTGAAGGATTGAAACAAGGACAGGGCGCGCCGTAGTAGTGAGAGCTATATAAATTGATTCTGTGATGTCAATCCTCCAGAAACGAGTTGCTATAGGACTAGAGATTCTCACTTCCCCATGCACAGCTGGGCCCCCGACCTTAGCATGGGAAGCCACCAGAATGACCTCAATGCCGGGACACTTGGCGCAGCATGGTCCGCAAAATTCTGCGTGGCTGTGACCTGTTTCATGACATATCATGACCATAATATACTAAATGTTGCACTTGAATGTCTTCGCAACTCCCAAGGGCCATTGCAGCGACACCTGTCCCACGCACTCACATGTTTCAAGATGACCAATTGCCAACCAAACTGCTTAAGTAGCAAAAAAAGCACCACACCAAAGGCGCCAAGCGCACACTTTTTCACCGCTCCGCTCCGCACACAGTGGTCGACACTTCTTCTTCTCAGCCAATGCCCGTGCCACCAACAAATCGCCTGCTCCGACTGCTGGAGCTGCTCCTGAGCCCGCCCACACCAACCATCACGCCCTCGAGCTGCCGCGGGCACCGTTGGGCCCGGCGACCTCCGGCGCCCCGGCGCCGGTCTCGCCAGGTCGTTGGGGTGCGCGGTCGGCGGTCGTCGTTCGTCGATTCGTTGCGCGGCGCGGCGCTCAGGTGCGGTTGCGGAGCATCGTCACGGAGAAGACCTGGAGACGGCGGCAGCGGGCGTGGTGGGAAGGGAAGGGAGGTGAGGCGGAGGCGAGGCGGCGGTGGGTGCTGGGCAGTTGAAGGAGAGGAAGATGTGCACAGGAAGAGGAGAACGGAGGCACGCCGCGGATTTTGTCCAAGAAAGTCGAGGAACAAGGAAGGATTATCGGAAAAGGCGGAATTCGAAGAGCGCTGAAGAACATCAAGGAACCATAAGGAACCCTTGAAACATTGGAAGAGTCGTGAAAAACCATGAGGTTTGCCTCAGGTTTCGGATCCATCCCGGTGTGTTGGCGGATGGACTGGGCGGATCAGCCGTGTTCAATGTCCAGGACTCGCCTTCAGTTCGACCCAAATGGGAAAGACCTGGTCACTGGTGAGCTGGTCCGCGTAAGAAATCCTTAGTAAAAACATGTACAAACAACGGTTGTTTGAGGTTCAGCTATGCCACCACCCCCAAGGGGTGGTTAATGGACACCCCTTAACAGCTAAGGGGCTATAAATAGAGACCCCGACAGGAGGGTCCTGGTATATAATGAATGGTGGTCCAGGAATTCAGTTTTTTTCAGCTTTGGACCAGCAAGTTCAGGTGCCGACGGAAGAAAATGCTGTACTCCAGCCGGTCAAAATAGAGCCTTTGGGCTTCTAGGATATATCTTTCAGCCCTGATCTCCCACATGTCCCACATGTCCCAAGTCCAGCACCTGCTTGAAGGTCAAGGCCAACAAGTCGTTGTGGTCACACACAAAACCATGTCCTCCGAACCCAATGGCAGCCGATTTTTGGGTCTTTTCTTCTGCGGCTTCCGAGATCTTGGACTACAAAGTGCTCCAGTCAAAAGGGGCTGACGACTCCAGTGCCGGACTCCGGTGCCCCACACACAAAAACGTCTCAAAACAATTGAAGGTGGTATCATTCCAGATTCAGATTCCACTCTCTCTCTCTCTCACTCACTCACTCACTCACTCTCTCTCTCACTCACTCACTCACTCACTCTCTCTCTCTCTCTTCTGCCCATACCACCGCGGTACATCACCTCGGCGCTCCTGGCGTCAGACCGGATTTGAAGGTCTCGGCCTCGTCGGTGTTGGAGCTGATGAGGATCACGTAGGCATTCACGCGCTTATCCTCTCAGAAGGTCCCAGAATTGGAGGTGACTCTTAGTGCGGTTTCCCATGGTTACCCTCAAAAGAATGGGAGGTGTTGACTTGACCCCGCCCTGATAAACATTACATAAAATTACGAATCTAACATTAAGGGAACATCTACAGGAAACCCTAGAGCTTGGGGGGTGAAGACATGTGAAAATCTCATGGATTCCTGTAGCACCTTTCCCTTCAACCCATCCTCTCAGAATTGCATCAAGAACTGACTCTCCAGCCGTTGATGCCATTGAGCATAAAGACAAATGCAGTGGATTGAGAGTAGATGGCACAGAACCCCAAAAGGTTATATGGACCCACTCTCATGGACCCCCATCTGTCTAAGACATCATGTGGTCTGTGCCATCTACTCTTGAAACCACTGTAAGGAAGTGAGCGCCTAACAGGTTGGGCACTTGATCCGCATCAGCTCCTGGGTAATTACAAGAGCCGTCCTTGGGAAAAAATAACAAAAGGATGGTGACACGTGGTGAATCATTACAAGGAGCCATCCTGGGGCGAGGGTGAATCATTATGAATGAGTCAACATCTCCTTTCTTTCTTATTACAAGAGCCATCCTTGAAAAAATAAAACATCCTCCTTTCAAACATGTTTCACAAGGAGCATTGTGTGCTACTCCTTTCTTTTTCTGGGGGAGGGCACCACTTCCACCAGTTCTCCTGCATCAAGATCTTGTTCCAAGCACTAGGCGCAATGCCATATCTCCCCAAATCGGCATCACTCACCACGAAGACGTAGTACTCGTCCGCAGGCGTGCGAACCACATCCTGCGCTCTTCAGGTGGGTGTGTTCCCGGCATCACGCCGCACCAGCGGAGTTGGCACGACCGGCATTCTGGAGCATCATGCCGAACAAGCGAAAACCCCTGCTGGGTGGCCTCACTGATACGATCTTCCTGTGAGCTGATGAATGTGCCTGCCGCTTGTGCCATCGAATTGAAGAGATGGAGAAAGCGGCCCAGAATGGGAGCCGTTCCAAAAACAAAAACTTACAAACCACCCCCTTACACCTTCTCTTTGGGAATGAGTTGGCGCTCACTGGGTTCTGGATGGTGTCGGAATGTTTCGAACATTCTCACAACCCATCAAACAAACACACTTCAAAGCGACTTCTTGGGACTCGTGAAAGGTATTTTTCCACACAATGACCAATCAACCGCACAGCAATGCGCCTCTAAAGCTTGACTGAGATAAGTGCAAGCTGTCACTTGGGATCACCAGTCTTACAAGAACAAGCTGACCACAAGCTGCCACTAAAGTGAATGTCTTTAGTGGCCCATGTCACGCTGGACTTCCTGAGAGCCCTTTCAGTGTTGGCTTTCAATTGTTGCTTTCGGACATGTTGCTTGGTTTGGCTCGGTTTGGCTTGAGTTCGGGTTTGGGTTCTCTTTGCTTTGCCTTGTCTTGTTTCTTTGGGTTTCTCTCTCTCTCTCTCTCTCGCCCTCTCCGAAGAGTTTAGCCCAATTGGCGAGCGCCCTGGACCCGCCGTCCTTGATGGCCCGATCCGTCGCTTGCAACGTGTGATCGCCACTGTGCGAGTACTGCCTGAGACGCAGGCGAGGATGGGAGTCGTGGGCGAAAGACTGCCTACAATCCACAGCTGTGGAACACAGGTTGCGGCTAGGTCCTAGGTTATATGAACATCTCTCTCTCTCTCTTGTTTGGTATACGCGGCGTGTGTGGGGATACTCATTGATACTCCCAAACTTCCAGGAGTTTGTACGATCCGTTGATCTTGGCTGGTTTGGCACCCAGCTATTGTGGACCAGCCAAGTGGTGGAGTCAGGAGTCAGGGGACAACCAGGTGGGGTAATTACATGGAGCCGGAACCCCTGGGTTCTTGCCAACCTGTGGGCCCGAAAAAGCCTTTCCTTTGACCGTACCCGATAGACCGTACCGTTCAAAACCAAAACGTAGCACTTCGGGCGCGCACCCGTCTCCGTAATAGGTGTCCTTCTTCGTCTCCGTGACCTGTTGGACTCAATCAACACAAAGGCGCCGGAAAGAAAAGCATGTACTGTATATTCGTCATTATTCGTCTAGCAATTTGACAAAAGTCAATATGAATATATATATATATATATATTTAAAGTAGTTGAAATTAAATCTATAGTAGTATACTAGAATAGTAATCCGCGTGAGGGGCCTCAAAAATCCCAAAGTCCAACAGAGGTTAAGTGACCGTAAATAGGACCCATCACCTGTGGTACCTATATATATATATATAGGACAGCCTCCGGGGCCCTATAGGGACTTCTCAGTCGGGTTCTTCGACCTCTGCTGGGTGCCCAGGAGATCCCAGGAGCGCATGGGCGGCCATCTGCTTCACGATCGCCAGCTGCTCCTGGGCGCTGCGGGGCGGCTTGCCCCAGGACACCAGATTCTCCGCCTCCGGGCCGCTGCCGCTGTGCCCCACCATGGAGTACCTGGGAGACGCTCAGCCCAACGACGGGGGCGTTCCAAGCTCGGAGAGGCCTCAGGTTACCCCGAAGGGCCTGCCAAGGTCGTTCGTTGAGGCCTGGGAAGGGTCTCAGTCGGTGACCAGTCGGAGGGTTCTGGCATAGATCTTTCAATTAGACCTAGTATGGATCCATTCATAGCAAGGTTGGAGCCCTCATTACAAGTACAATCATCTACTCTCCATCCATTGCAGGCTGGAAACGGTTCGAAGCTGGGGTGGTTCACTCAGCTTATGTGTTCCAACAACTCCATGGTCTCCATGCAGGCCGTGGTGATATCAGGAGTCCTAGAGTCCGGTCCAGCCGGGGCGTGTCGTCTCGAAGGAATCCTGGACTCTGAAGACCAGAACCACCATGAAGGACTTAGCCAAAGACGAGACGTATGCTGTTCACGCATCTGTGACCAGGAAGGCATTCATATGGCTTCCATGACTGGAGTTCTGAAAGAGGATGAAAAGAGGGATGTCTTTTACTTCGGGTGTGCCAATGGCGCCAAATAGATACAGTAGATATACTTCAAGGGCATATATAATGTGAAGACATACAAGTTTAATGTGCAAACATGGTTTGCCACTAGAAGAAAATCTCCGCTGCTCCGCCGGTGTTCCCCCAAATGACAGGCTCCGGAGGTTCTTTCCCCGCACACGCAACAAATTGAAGTCTCCCCATAAGAACTTTATATGTCTTACAAAGCACGAACAACCCAAATCACATATATATATATATACTACAGCACGACCGTCATGGTTTTTCCCATGTGCTAAGCATGGGCAGGGCGCTGATACTTCTGTTCAAAGCCTTGGAAGCTTTCGAAGATGAAGATCGAAGCCTCCATGAGCCGCTGGAGTCGCTGATCGATGCGGTTGAAGGTGTACATGGAGCCTGGGGAGGCCGGCCGGGCGGGGGCCGTGGGAACCGGGTGGGTGGGATTCCCAGCGAGGGATCGCAAAGACTCAGAGCTTATAGAAGTCCAGTTCGACGGTCTTTGGCACCACAGAAGTAGGGGACATTCGGAACTTGCGATAGGATAGGTGTTTCTTCAGGTCCATTAGTTGAAGTAAAGGAACTTTAACTTTGGTGCATGATGAAGTTCACCAGAAGGTTTTCTATGCTTTCTAGCTGGCTCATCTGGCTCATCCAAGGCCAGTCGTCTCAGAAGAAGCACCACCATTCCAAGGGTTAGCCGTGATCAGCAGCCAAAGCAAGTGTATCGCGCTTTGATCTTTCAGATTCTTTCGGCCATTGAAATCAACTCTGATCAATCACCTGGCAAGGCTGTCTTTCATAGAAAATTCTGGCAAGAATGTCTACCAGGACCCACAAGGGGTGGTTAGTGGACACCCCTTAACCTGTCTATTGCATACACACCTGTTAGTTGGGCTTTATCCTGGATCAACATCTTGATCAAAGGATGAGTCCGTATCACGTCCTGCACTGCACGGCGTTTCGCCCAGTTTCACCATGCTTCACCCCTAATCATGTCGCTTCACCCCTTAACAAATGGTTTTAACATGTTTTAACCGATTTTAACTACAGGTGATGGACCCAAGGCAATTCAAACTCAACGGCATGTTTGGTGCAAAACCCTTAGTTCTCAGTTGCGGACCAGGAAAGAAGCTCCCAGTCGATGCTCTGCTTCTGCGTCGCTGGCTTCCGCCCGGTTCGGAAACTTCGGAGCGACGCCAAGGAACCGCTGCAGTCCATCACGAACTTGATGCGTTTGGGCAAGAGCTGATCTCCACTGGACCTGGTCGCCCCGTTTGGACAAGGAGCCATCAAGAAGCCTCCGCCCCCACTTCACCGGCGACCCCGCTGGTTAACAACAACAACAACAACAACAACAACACTCGGATCAGGATCTATTCTTGTGCCGCCTTTCGGTCTCTTATCTAGCCCGTTTATCTTTCCATATATCTTTCATCTATTTGTTTGGGCTGGATGAGAATTAATTAATGAACCACTTGCTTTTTCAAGATAAAGAAGAGAAATACACTAACAAAAGCCAATGGCACAAAGAGACTGTATGCATGATGGATTTATGTTCCCTTCCCACCCCATGAAGGTCAGTTCATTTTCGTAGATAAAATCCATTAACCATCATATATAAAGTGACTTAGAATCACTTCATCCACCGGAACTTCCAATCTAAGCACCTCGCAGCACCACCTGCCGCGCACCACTCGCCCGCCCCCGCCACGCTCGCCCGGCCTGTCGGCCTCCCCCCGGCGGCGGTAGATGTTCCGCGCGCCAACCAGGCCGTCGACGAGGCGCATCTCGTCGAGCTCGCCCTCAAACGTGGCTGGATGGCTGGATGGGATCCTGTGGTGGAGCCTCCAGGAGGCCTTCAGGAGGCCTCCAGGAGGGGGGGGGTGGATTTCAGGGAGGTGGTGGAAAAGACACTTGACAAGGTGACCGGAGTTAAGGAATATCCTTTACATCAGTCGGTCAAAATATAGTCGAACTGGACTTCTAGGGATAGAGGATGTGGAGGACGGACTGGATGGGGTGCATTCAAGCAATGGAAGAAGCGCTTGTTTTGGTTCCATGAGGTCGGCTGGGGGAGATCATGGAAATGACAAATGCTGAACGAACGAATGAACCCAACCATGACTCCCAGAACTTCCGTTTTGACATGTGTTGACTCCTTAGACAGCCCACTGGGAGCCACAATCCACCACTACCAGTTGGGGGGAAAGTGATCAAACCTGGAGTCTGAGGGTTACCTAAACGCTCCATGGTCTCATGGTGGTCAGGGTTGCACCATCCAAAACCACATAGACTTCTAGGCCAGAGTCGCCGTTCTGGTGGCGTCTCGGGTTGTAGCGAGTCGACTCAGTCAAACCTGGACCTTGGATGATCTTGGCCCAGTGACCTGCACCTGTTGCTTCTGCCAGCTTCGTTCGCGTTCCTTCGCCTGAAGAGGGATGAGCCCTCAAACTACAGGGGCAGGGGCCAGGAAAAACAGTGGCCAAACAGTGTTGGAACAGCATTGTGTGACAATAACACCGAAAGTTAATGACATGTTGTGGCTCGAAAAACATCAAAAAGCCAGAGCCCGCAAACGACATGCAAACTGCGGGAAGGTCATGGAAGGTCCAGGGTGGAAAACGCAGCCCAAGCCGGTCGTTCATGTTCTTCGGACCCTGGAACCCACCAACCAAGTTCAATCATGGCTGGTTGTTGGCCAGTTGGCACAACTTGCAACCCTTTCAGGAAAAAAAGAAACACACAAGTTCCGTCCAGACTCCAACATTTTTGTTTTTGGTCGATTTGCTGGTGTCATTAGGTTCTGCAGCCAAAAACACCCAAACAATCCCAAACACCATAGCCATAAACCAGCACCCAAAAAAGGTGGCGTATGGAACCCCCGGCCCCCGAATGAAGTACTTGAACCATCCACTCACCATGGTGCGAGTGCATCTCGCACTAGGCCTCAAATAGGGGCAGCTTCCACCGCCTGCGACCGCCTGCCCCAGCCTCATGGCTTTCAAGCACCAGCCGAAAGGCTGCGATTTGTGCCTCCACCGCCTCGCGCAAGCGTCGGTACCTCGGTTGTACACGGCCTGCTTCCCACCCGTGCTTCACCACGCGCATCTCAAAAGTTGCTGGCAGAATTGTCGGCCTGAACAACCGGACACCGGAAGCTTGGCTGTTTGTGGAAGCACTTCGATGATAACTTTGCGGAGTATACATTCCCTCTTCTCAGATGGAAGTCGTTGCATGAATGGTCCCCTCTAGCCGCATCCGTCACCAGCTCAACAGGCCTCCCTCCGAGAACGTCCCAGTGGTGAAAGAAATTTTGAACCTCGGATCAGCCAACCATCAACTGCTGCTGGTGATAGGATAGACCCAAAACATGTGGACGACTGGGACTACCCCAAGACATAGTGTAGACATGTGCCGTGTTTAATTCTCCACTCCCCATCAGCAAAACTGAGTTGCTCTGTCTCATCATGGGCGCTCATCTTCAGCTCCTTCAGCCGATGTGCATAGGCCTCATCAGCCATCTGCTGCGCCTGAGCCATGCGTGGTCAAACGTCTGTGCAAGGCCTCCCCACCGTGCCACGCATATATAGAATGCGAGTTAGCATGGGTCATGGAAGGAAGTTCGCCCCATGCGTTCTGCAAGCGATATGTCCTTGTTGCTGACGCCAGTGGAGCTGGACGAATGAAATCAACCACCAACCAGCCATCAGGTTCTGTCATGTTCGGTCCAATCGGGGAGGCTTCTTGCCTCCGACCAACAGGCTGCCGCGACCTCAAGTATCCAAAAGAGTCCCCAAACAGCCAGAACCACCCAAACTCCGTCTCTCGTTTGCCACTCTCCTTGTTCCCCCTTCCTTGGGCCCTTCGCCCTTCGCTGTCCCCACGCCTTCCCGGAAAAAGGTCCCCACCTTCTTATGCCACTCCTCCGACACTTCCTTCTTCTGCTCCTCAGTGAGCATCACCAGCTCTTGCCCTACATCCAGGCGGTAAGGCCCTGCACGGCCACCGATGCCCGCCTCGGAGCAGGTGCGGAGATTCGAAGTTCAAACCCACCAGGGTGGAACGGCTAAAACAAGGATCCCCTTGTTAGGCCCGAAGGTAGAACGGCCCTCAATCAACCATCATAAAACCATCATAATCCCCCACAAATGTGAAGGGGTCTACCATCGACGACTTGGGGGGGTTCACTAATTATGATAAAGAGTCTAACAGGACATGACAAAATTTACCAGCAACATCCAGCACCTGTAGGCCACGAAGGGGGTTCCATCACCCGAAGGTCCTGCATGTTTCCAAGTCATCGCCAACAATAGAACCAAGGAAAAGTCCAAGGAAACACCAAAACAGCCCAGCCACCACCTGCACACCTGTTTACCTCATCCTGCTGCCCAAGCTGCTGTTCCAGTTCCACCGGAGCCGCCATCCCAAGGGCCTTCGCCAATGTGCTGTCGCCCATCCCAGTTGCCCGCGCGGGGCGCGTGCCGCTTGCCGGACTGGTCGGTGGCCTGAGCGAGGTTGTGGGTGAAGGAAGGGCAGGATTTGGGCGATTCGCATGGACCAGCGACACCCCAAGAAGTCCATGCATGTAATTGGCACCACTGAGGGGTTCCGGAATTTCCGAACTTCGGATCATCTGAAGAGCCCTCTCAAAATCTTGGACTTTTTAGAGGTCCCAGTGGCATCGTCATAGTCTCGCGTGCCCACATCTCCAGGGTCAAAGCCTTCCCCGTCATTCTCCTCGAGATGATCGCGGCACAGCAGCGCTTGGGGAGCGGGAACCCAGCAGCGCTGCTTTGTCGCAGGAACCCCGCGTCGCGAGCCGGTTGAGAAGGTGGGAAACCATTAAAAAAGAATAAAAAAGATATGTGGGGTCATGATGGTCGATGTGTTGTATTGACAGGGCACGAAATCAAGAATGAATCAACTTGCGATTTACCCATGAATTGGCTCTGAAGGTGATGATTTGGCGGCCAGGTGTTTTTTGGCCAATATAGGTACATAGCTGCTGATAGAAACTGAAAGATCCAGCTTTAAATGCACTCTGTCTGTCCGCATGGCACATCAACCTGCAGAGTTGTATCGAGTTGCACGCATTGTCCTTTGATACCTTTTACGACACAGGCACTGCCCAGCACCGGGCAAATCCCAGATCTTCACCTCCAATCAACTTCCATTATTACGGTACCCCTAGAAGTCGAACCACCATTGTTTAAATAGCCTTTACCGAACCACCATTGTTTTTACTAAGGGGTTTACACTACAAAACCAGAGGCCATCAAAGCAATGGTTGGAATCTTTTCACAAGAGCAGCACAACCATCAAGTCTCCGCATTCTCTCCCGAGTCATAGTGCTTGGCAGACTTGAAGTCCTTCCAATTCGGAGCGCGCGGGAAGTCCGAATCGTCCCTGCCTCCCTTGAGAGAGGACTCAAAATACTCACACACAATCATCAACGGGAGGCATGTAATTGCATGTCATTCAATGTCATTCAGCTAACTTTTAACACCAGTAATTTCAAGCGGACTACTTATCTCCGTCGTCCATGTTTGTCAGAAAATATCTGCAGCGAGGGGTATCGTTGGAAGAGTCGTGGCCTTCCAATACTCAATCCACTCACAAGCAATGAATAGACCAGGTGCCCAGATGTTCCGTAATGTAGATGGTTGATTTATTCATCAAACAACCATTCTGGTAGAAACGGTTTCACTAAATGATACTAAATGTAACCCTCTTTACCCTCTTTATACATGACCTGAACGCCATGAAAAACCCAAGGTCCAGCCGTTTCCCCCGCCCCACTTGGCCCCACATTCCTTGGGCAAGCGCTTCTGTGCGTCTCCATGCTTCACCGGCTTGGCGGTGGGGTTGAACTCGAAGCCGCCTCAAGCTGCGGTGCAGGGAACAAGGATGTGCTCTAAGCCAAGAGGCTGTCAAAACCTTTAAACATAGGCGGTCTTAATCGTTCTTGGTGACTTAAGCCGGCGCCATTGACATGGTTTCACGCTGTCTCACGGATTCACCCCTTACATGCTCGTAACATGCCTGCGCAGGGGCTTCTCATACCCTCTAGGCCCTAGGCCCTTTTTGGGTTGCAGCCAGGACCCACCACCACCAACCTCCGGCCAGCCGAGGACAATCTTACAAACCGACCTGGATCTTCCAACTGTGCAACGTGCGTGCCTTTTCACCCATCAAAACCCAGCCAAAGGCCAACAAGAGGCAAACATTGCATAGTTGGAAGAGTCTCCAAGCATGAAAATGGGCACCAGTACCACTTATTATAGAGTCATGTCATGTCATGCCCCGTCTTCTACGCAACAAATGGATGGCCACACTTTCCTCCACAAACAGGAGCACGCTGAGAAAGTGGATTTCTAGCAACCCTTGTCGGCTGCTGCAGGGATGTGACTAGAACCCAAGTCACTTGTTTGGTCCAAGGGGCAGCCATGCAGCACGCCCGCCAACGTCTCCCGCAGCTTGGAATCGTGCCAATCCTCGAATGCCACGAAGAACTGTCCAAGCCTGTTCGCCTGCCTTCGCCTGGACCGTAGAAAAGTTGACTTGGGTTTTGTAGTGCAAGATGTTCAGGAATACAAGGGTTGTTCGGGATTCAACCCCTAAATCAAATGATGGTTGGAATCCTATAGGAAAAGTTTTTTCTGATCTTTTCGGCCGACTAATTATGGCAAACCAGGGGACTGGTGGAAGGCTCTTCTCTGCTGGCTCTTGCAGCCTTGACTAAGAGCAGACGAGTCCCCTGTGTGCTAAACTCGCTAGAATACCTTTGACTTTGCTTCGGAACATTTTAAGTTTGTGGGTGCATACAGGCTATACAAACAACCAGTTTATGTCTCTTTGAGCAAAGCCAAATAGAGCCAACATCTTTCCCCACACGCCCCACACACGACCCGCGTTGCCTGGCTCCGCGTTGCCTGGCTCCGCGCCGGTCCTTCGCCGCGCTTGTTCCGGTCAAGGATCGAATTCGAAGACGTCGCCGAAGACCTCTTCCACTGGATCATCCGGGAAGTTCTCCTGGGCAGGCAGGCGACAGGCATCGGTCGCCTGGCCGCCCAGCGCCAGGCATAGAAATAGGGGCTGGCTGACTTTTGGGCCTCCCCTTAGTGCCAAGTTCTGCGCTGAAAAATGGTGATTTGGTTGGGGCATCAAGGCCCACCAGAAATGGTTCCTTCTGCAAAACTGGCTGCTTGGACGTTATTGCCTTTTGGTGTTGTCTCTTGCGCGTGCATCTTCATGTTCTGAATGTCCTGTGGGGTCACCGAGCAGCTCCTGGAAACCCCTGAGGCACGTCGCCAGGACCGTATCCCGACGAGCGGATCCCGAGACATCCGCCATTCGATTCGTGCAGCACCGGAGGAAGACGTTTGAGGATCCGATCCGACCATGGAACCAGACACGACGAATGGGATGGCCGATCCGGTGCCAGGGGGGGCCAATGGGGCGGCATGCATGCATTATATAAGGCAGTTCCCATGGAGTGGTGTCTGGGTGTGTTTTCAGGGAGTCACTCCGAGCACCCTTTTGGGGCTCGGAGACCGGCACCAGCAGCACAGCGAGCCAAATCCGAACATCGAGGCGCGAGATGTCGGACGATCTTCACCAGCTCGCGCGTGGAGTAGGGGTAGGACAGCATGCCCTCCTGCCGAAACCGTGATGCTGAAGGAGTTGGTCATGGGGTCGTTGGAAGGCCGCGGAATGCCTGACTGCCCTGGAGGGGGCCAAAAGGGATGTCAAAAGTATCGGGTTTGAAGGTTCGCCCCTGGGAGTCGAAGAATATCAAAAGAATGGTGCTTAGGCCCTACACTCCCTGGAACTAACATGGAAGTGGAGAATGGCCCCTTGGAAGACCATTTTCCACTACAAACAGGTGGTTTTCCACTTCCATGTTAATTCCAGGGAGAGTAGCCTCTGGACTTCTATGGTGACATCTTGCAGTCATGCCAAGTTCTTCTAAGTTTCGACCTTCATCGAACAGTGAAGCGGAGACTCTCGCTAAAACGGTCTCTGCCCCCTAGCCGGCCCTAGCCCTATACCTGTCTGCGTGATTCTGCGTGTGTGTCCAACGCTCCGTTCTTACAACCTCCTTCTACTTGATTCAGAATCTTGGCTTCACAAGCGGTCGATCTAGAACTCCGAACCCCCATCTGACCACCATAACCCATGCGAATCCTACAATATGAAGCGCCAAAAGATGGCTCTACCATCAGCTGAAGGCTACAGCCACCAGCTCTGCCAACCGACCAAACAACATCATTTGCCAGGCGTCATCTCCTCCACCAGGCGTCGCAGCTCCGCAAAAAGCCCCAGCAAGCGTACGAGCTGCTCCTGGTGGGAGGCACCAACAGCAGAAGGTAGGTCTTGGTTGGGGATTTGCGTCAAGAATCCTGTACCGAACGACCATTATTGGTCAAGTTCACCCTGGTCAAGAATTGTAGAATACTGCCTATTTGGGCTCGTCTCATCGATGTGGCGCATGCCATCAGTCTTGAAATCACTTGTAATTATCTGCTTCTAACAGCCCCACAACGCCAAATGTTAAACAATGTTAAACACATATTTATATATACCGATACCTTACAAGTTACAAGCAATCCACACAATATCCAAGCAATACAAAGCCTCCCGAACTTCCACGCACGACGGCGTGCAGACTCACAAGAAGTCTCTCCTGTGGCACTGAGGGTCCATAACTCCGCAGAAGTTCCACTTCCGAGGGAACGTCCGGGTTGTCGATGGCGTGAGAAGCGAAGACGTCTCCGCACTCGCGGTAGAAGTCCTCGGCACTCGCGAGTGGCCAGGCCGCTCAGGGGCGAAAAGCGAAAGGCTGGCGAAGGGGCCACGGATGTTGGAAGCCTTGCAGATCAAACTTGTTCCTACAAAGGTTAAGTTAAGCGACCTTATCATTAGGACCCGTAACTAGGATTACCCAACCCAGCTTCTTCAAAGTGACCTTTTGAAAGTTCCTAAGTGACCCTTAGGAGACTTAAGTGACCGAACCAACCAGGTTATCAAAGGGTCACTTTGAAGAACCAGGACTAGGATAGTCGAACAAGGTTTCCCCAACCTCTGCAGGTTAACCATGTGTCTGTTCCAACACACCGCGGGGATCCGTGTGGAGTCCATGGGATCCGGTGGGACATCGCAGGGCAGAGCCCCCGGCAGTCCGATTGGAGTTACCCGTTTGGGCTCCAGTCGTACCGAACCCGAGAAGGTGGGACTGGGGTGGCACCCCCAGGAGGGTCCAGTCACACCTTCTGAGGAGGTACGACTGGAGCCCTAGGGTTAGATAAGAACCATTGTATTCTGTTTTTTTATTTTTTTATGGTACGACTACAGTATTCCTATGGTCCAGGTACTTCTGGAACGCTTGGACCAAGATTCGAAACTACCTTTGACACTCCTAGCGACACTCCTAGCAACCCCCCCATTCCACCCTCCCCTTGGACAAGCCCCCGAAGCTCGAAACTACCAGCCCCGTACCCTGGCTCGCTTGCCAAGAGGCGTTGCCCAAAAACGGATAGCCCGGCCGGTTGGCCAGCACGATCATCCGGAAGCCCGCAGCAATGGGCAACACGCAGTCGTTCGACTCCACCTGCTCGGAGGTGGTGATGAGATGAGATGCCCACCTCCTCACCAACCACCAACCCTGGGAGTTCAAGACGTCTTTGGATGTCAAAAGGGGACCTGACAGGGAACTTCCTTGACTTGCTTCACCTATATGAAAAAAGTATACAAACCACCTGTTCTTTTGGGAGGTCTTCAGCACTGCTAAAAGGCCTTGCCCTCACCCTCACGAGCCTCACCCTCCCACAGCCTCGTCGTCGGGCGTTGAGAGTTTGGGTCCATCATCTTACGATCCATTGGCCCAACTTATATCCAGACACGACTAATGGGACTGCCGGTACATGACCCAATTCCCCACATGCACGAGATGCGCTGCCTCGCGGGACAAGTGCTCTGGCTTCATGATGGTCCGGCCATCGGCCAAGGAGAACTCACCATCCTCCGCCAAGCTCTTCAAGATGCACACCACTTCCAAAGGCGCCTACATTGTGAGAATGATCAGCAGGCTGGGAGGCTAGGTGCTCATTACTTACATAGGGCGGTGTTGCCTTGATTTTTTCCTGGTGAGCTGCTTGTACTACGGTGGCTGCGGGACTGATGTCCTACCCTTTGTCCGAACGGTGGATTCTGGCCTGGTATAATCAGTATAATCGCCACGGACCAGATTTTCGTGAGGAGTCCTGACATGGTCAGTTTGTCACCAAAAAGAATCATGGCATGGTCAGTCATGTGGACATCGCATCAGCCTTGTCTGCTTCATCGATGACCAGCACTCGACCATAGCGCACTGCAGAGACCTGGGCGGAGAACCCCTTTCAACGATGCGAGAGCGAGTGTAGGAAGAGACACGGGTGTTTATGAAAAATGACCCATCCAAAGAGGATCCACACAGAAATCATATGCTACCCTGGGAGTCCAAGACTATGTTCAAAAATGGTCTTTACTGGACCTGAAAGCCAACGGCCCTTGCTTCACCAAGGAAAAAGGTATAGCCTTTGGACTTCTAGGGCTGTACATCCAATGTAGACTCTTGAATAATACACCCCCCATCTGAATTGAACATCCTCTTCAAAGGGGGGGTTATCAATCAAGAGTCTACATTAGGTTGATTTCCAGGATTTTCCAGGATTTCAGCTGATCTTGCAGCGGACCCTCTTGCAGTCCGCTTCTCCGTGGTGGCTTCACACATCACTTCTTCCAGTCCGCCTCGCGACGCTCAATGCCAATGTCCGTTTCCAAACCCGAAGAGTCATCTTTAAGAAAGTTAAAAATCATCTTGCCCGTTTTTCTCTTGTGGAAGTGACCTCTAACCATCCGAAGAAAAAGGAAAAGGATAAACATCCTGATCATCCTGGTCTTCATACCGGATCTATTTACGCGTCAACCGTCCAGGCTGTTCCTCCACGCACGACTCCCGCGTCGCCACCCAGCTTCTGCCCAAGGTTCCAAGGGTGAATCTTGATAGACCACTTTCCCGTCTTGAAGCACGGGTTGGCCTCACTTCCCAACAAACAAATCTCTGGCCCAATGGACTCCACAGGAAGCAAAGGCGCCCACAAAGTGGTAAAGTCTTACCCCCCCCCCACAATTTAAACAAAAAAACACTGTTTTCTACATCAAACCTATTCCAAAATTTAAGGGCACACAACAAAAGGATACAAAAGGTACGATGCACAGCACCCTGGATTCATACAACCCAAAATCATTTTTGTCGAAGGCTCTTCCCACTTGCTGTCCAAGTGACAGGTCAAGGACTGGACAGAGGTGTCACGATGCAACTGCAAATATTCCCGCTCCAGGCGCAACATGCTCAGAAAGCGATCCGCCAACTTGTTCTTGCCCACTCCTTGATTTCCTGAGCTTGGCGTAGCTTGGCGTAGCATAGCTTGGCGTGGTGCGACCGAGCGCAAGATTGAAGCTTCTAGCTGCTAGCTGACCAACCAACATTGCAAGCATGGATTTAGAGGAAAGACTGACTCCCCAAAAAATGATCTGAGTCTGACTTCGCTGTAATACTGACTCTTCCAGTCTGGGGGTGTTTATGAACTAATTATAGGGAACCAGGACAGTTGTCGGGCATGGGCCAGTTCGCGCCGCACAGGTGTGTACCTATACCGAACGCGAGGCACAGGACAATCCTGCTGGCAATACATGCACCCTGGAAGTCCAAGACCATTATTGAAATGTTCATCTGGCTTTGCTAGTGCAAAATCCTGAGTAAAACGATGGTTGTTCAGTTCGGTTAAAGGCTAGTTAAAAATGGCGGTTCGACTTAAAGGGTGCACAATACTAGAAACCCTGGCCTTCCAAGACCATTTAGGCACAGAAAGCATGTGTTTAAGGTAAACATCTACGGGAAACCATGGTCTTCACCTCCAAAACAATGTTGGTTTCCTGTAGATGTTGCATGAGGTGCATGATGACAAAACGGGGACAAACCGTAAGGTTTTTAAGTCTTGCCCAGGTGTCCGATGAGCAAGAGGTGTCGCTGCAGCAACCAGTCAATGAGCATCGTGCGCAACATGGCCACGTGCTGCGGGATGTCAACCTTGACTGCCATTTGGCTCAGGAAAATCCACGGAAAGAAGTATACAAAGGCAATCCATTGGAAAGCGTAGGATAGGAACCAACAACATCCTTATAAAAGCTTAAAATAGGGAGACCTACCAGGTCGACCCCTTTTCAGAGGAAAATTAACCAAAAACTCCAAAAACCTTTCGTTATGGGTATAGGATGGTATAGGTATCTCCCTATTAACATGCACCTCCACCACATGGCGCGCGGAGTTTGAGGACCACCACACTGATTTCTATGACCGCGAGGAAACCGGAAAGCGCCAACGGCCCTTTCGGGAGGAAACCCATGCGCAGGTCATGACCGAGCCCAAGGATCCCAAGAGAGGCTGAGAGACCTGAACAGTTGGATCCTGAGCTGGGGACACAATATATAGGACCCAGGCTTGGACCCTTAGACCTGGATCTGACCTGTCTATGCCAAACTTCTCACTTGGCTGGTGTTGGGATGCAAAGACCCAAAAAAAAAAAAATGGTCAGTTGGAGATGTTCCAGGTCGGTCTGGGACGAGGTCTCAGGTCCGAGGTCCGGATCCCAGGCGCGAAGAGTGTGGAAGGCACCAGCTCCGGTCTCTGCGGACGACCTCTCTTGCAGCTCACGTTGCCGAGGCGCACCTCCGCATCCTCAGCTGCTTCCTGGAGAACCTCCAAATGATGTGGAGCACCGATGCAGCGGACCCAGTGTAGATAGATATATTATATTAACACACGGTTATACTGTGCAATGACATATATATATATACACTTTTTACATAGCTACAGTGGGATTGGAAAGAGAAACCACCGGTGGATGTGATGTTGTTCCCACATGTTCCCACTCCCTTGGAATCGAAAACCCCTCAAAAAAAGAGAAATCTAGCCCTTAGGTGGTGAAAGGGAACTCCCTCTTCCGGCACAGTTCCGAGATCCGGTATCCTCTTGAAATACCCCCCGCCCAGCCCTTGTAGGCCATCGCTCCCTCCGCAGCACAAGTGCCCAAGCATCAGTCACCTCCACCTTCAGCGCGCCCCGCTGCCCCGCTGCAGCGCCGGCCGCCGCGTTCCGCGCGGTGCGCAGTAGGGCCTCGTGCTTCTGGCGCCGCTCAGTGTGCGCCTCGTCCCGGAGCTTCTGCGTCTCCTCGTCGATGTGCCGTGTGGCCGAGGGGTTCGGCATGAAGCGCAGGCCAATGGCGGGCTCCTGAGAGCATGGGGCCAATGGGATGAGGAGTGGATGCTGGAGGATTGGATGAGATTGGAGGCATGAGTTTCAGGGAGGAACAAACCTAGGTTGGCGAATGTCGGAGTTAGTTGGTGGGCTGGCATTGGATAGATTGGATTGGATGGATCATCTGTGCCAACGAGAGAATGAGTGAGTGGAGCAAATATCCGAGGTGACTCCGCGTTTCCCTCCCCAGGCCATCAAGTGGTCATCCCAACATCTTGAACCAGGTGCCATGTGGCGGGTCAAAACCATTCAAAACCTGGAGCGCACATGGTGGAGGCGCGACTTGGGACCGACACCAGGGACAGGGGGCCATGAGTGCCCAGTGAGTCGGCCTCGGACCCGCGTTAGCCATGTCTGCGTTCGTCCGGCCTCCAAGGCCTTCAAGCGCTCGCCGCGCTCTTCAGCCAGCTGCGCCTTCCGCTGCGCCTCCTCGCCGAACGTAGCGGGGCGTAGCGGGGAGTAGCGGCGGGTGCCGTGCCGAGCACCAGCCACCAGCTAATAAAGAAAGGCCACAAAAGCATCCTAGGAAGTTCCTGAGTGTTTGGACACGATCATGCGGACGGCACTTACAAACATCAATAATTAAAATAGGGCTGGCTAATGCCATCAAACCTAACATCCATACAATGACCATTTCTACAAACATCTTTCCCCACTGAGAAGTGGAAATATGTGGAAGTGACGCATGACTCAGCTACAGTGAAACATGGCTTGCAGGTGGCCGCCTGTCTTTCATACATCAACTGATCGACTGGTTGATGTTTTATTCTCTCACTCTCTCATATCATCTTATATCACATTCTCGCCCTCCATTCATTTGATGTCACTCGCCCTGCTGCTGAGCTCGCAAAAAGCGATGAGTCACCACCTTTCGATTTCCCTTAAAAAATCGAGTCCTCCTCCTGTGGAGATTGGCCAACTTCGATTAGCCGCCTTCAGACTCAGGCGGACCCACCAAAACTTGGATTTGCTTGAGGAAAGGGGATTTGCCAACCATGTTCCGATCTATTGTTCCGATATCTCCCCCGGTTCCGGGGGATTCACCGATTCATTTCATAGGGAATATACGTTAAAAAACCAGGAAGGAATACTTTTCGGCCATCGCCAGATCCTTCAACTCCTCAGCGTCTTCCAGGTTCACCTGGCAGGAAAAATGGCTGGGCACTGGGCAGGGCACATCCTGAAGCCAAGAGAGGTAGCCAGTGACCTGACAGGACCCTACACGGGTACCTATGGCATAGTCGAACTAGGGTTCTTCAACCTCTGTCGGTATTGCCCCAAAGCCGAATGCTGTGTGCACACTTGTGTGCACTTCTATTCTCACGAGAGGTGTGTATGGTCATCTCGAATCATTACCCGTGAAATGTTGAGTCTTAGATCCAAAAAGTCACCACTTTCTACCAGCACCCTGCAACACTCCTCTGGAGGCTTTTGGAGACTTAAAAGTGTCAGGTGGTGACCTGTTGGGTCCTGGTACCTTCAAACATCTTACCATATCTTACCTTGAAATATGCACCTCTTCAAGTCCGCACTTCGCCTGTTTACAGTGTCTGACTCGCCTGGTCGAACATCGGCCGGCTCCATGGTGTGGGGAAGACTCTGCACTGCCGTGGCCGGTGCTGCTATGACCCTGAAAAGTGGCGGGACCTTTCCGTTGCACCACCGATTTTGTTCGGAAAGTCCGAACTGTTTCACCTCCGCCCTGCGAACATTGATAGAAAAAACGTTTTGGATCGTTTTGGATTCCCAGGGGGGTTGACACGCCAGGAGAGGGTGAAGAAAACCTATAGAATCTGATAGACCATCTTATAGGTACCCCAGGTTTTCCGGGTCCTATTTACCGTCACTTCACCTCTCTTTGGTGGGTTGACTCCTTCAGTCTGTCTCACTTCGCCTCAGTCTCCACCCTCGCCTTCACGCCCACACCTGCCATGGCCTCTCGCATCATTCGAAGCACTGCCTGCACCGCACCAACCCGGCCGGTGGCAGTCGCCCACGAAGTGCGCCACGTTTCTCAACATGACCTTTGGGTTTCCAAGCACCATTGATTTACATGTTACACTCCCTGAAACAATCATGGAAGTGGACAGTGGCCCCTTGGAAGACTACTTGTCCTCTACCAAGAGGGGGTTGTCTTCCGTGATTGTTGCAGGGTAATTCGTCATATCATATAATGTAGCTTGTACCGAAGAACAGAAACAGGTCAAAGGCTAGGGTGGTGACGTAGATCAAAGTTTGAGCAGTTCAAACAGGGAAACCGCCTCGAGTGGCCTCGTGCCATTCATCCAGGCGGGGCAAAGGCTTGTGCCTTCAAGACATCAAGGACTGGCCTCCTTGCACTTCGTAAAGCACTGGCAATATGGTCGACCTATGCCTATGCTCCACCGCACGCACGGACTTCCACACCTTAAACCCCTGCTGCCGCTCATCTGAAGCCTTTTGTTACTCCATCTTCATTCTCCGGATGCTCTATTCATCTTTATTGATGTACCAGCAGAGGTTGAAGAACCCTATAGACTATCCTAGTTGGGTACTCCTGTAGGGTCCTAGTTCAGGTCACTTAACCTCTGTAGGTATACCACATACCCCACCCGCCCAGCTTCACAAGCCCGTCTACCGCACGAAGCCGCCTGCTTCGACAAGGGCGGCAGGAAGTGCACGTAGCCCGACAGCGCCGCCTTTACCACCTCCGCCTCGACGGAGGAGCTGGCAGTCGAGGCACTGAGGCGGCGGGCCAGGTGAAGCAGCTGACCTAGGTGCTGGGAACATCTGCAGGAAACCTATGGCAAGGGTGTCCAGTAATTAGATGTTCTCTTAAGCATTCTTAAACCAATTCTGGGAGGTTGACGACTTCCCCTGGAAAGAAGGAGCCTAGATGATTGGATTCATCGCCACGGCACAAATTCAAGAGGAGGAGACGAGACCTGCGGTGGAGACCCGCCAGTGCCTTAATGGGAGTGATGCGGCCACCAGGAGATCCCAAATCTTGGACTTCTACTCCCCTGCAAACGATCCCATAGAACCTGAGAATTCCACGATCTTCCTCTACAACCCAGTGGTTTTGGGATTCCATGTTAACCTGCAGGGGAGCAACAAAACAGGCGCAACATCTCCAAATCCAAGCGGCGCAGGGAGAGCACCAAGGGCTGCAAAGACACGTCTGACTTGGCTGCAGCGCGCAAGGCCTTGCCATATGCCATCCTCAGCTGCATGCCAAACCGATGCCCACTCTCTTCTCACACCAACCCACATGCTCTGTTCCCGGAAGAGAGAATTCATGAGAATCCCAAGGCCGCCTTGGTGGAACTGACTGGCGTTGGCTGTAAACATGTGGAACTTACTGACCGGCCCAAACAACCCATTCCCGCCATGGGGCCATGGCATTGACACAATCCACGTTGGCATTCGGGACAAGGATTGGAGGTGGATTGTGTTCTTTTCTAGATGGATTGGCATTCAGTTCGGGAAAAAGGAACACCATCCACCTGAAAACCGCCAAAGCCAGGCCAAGCATCAGGCCGTTCAGCACCTTGTGCTCCGCCGACAGGCCGCAGAGTTGTGCCGCCAGCTTCACCTGCTGCGCCGCGGGCAGCGGCTTCACCTGACCCAGCGAACGAGGATCCATGGGGCGGGCATCGAAGAACATGGAAGACATTGCTCCTTCTTGGTGGTCCCGAAATAGATAGTGGCACGGTTTCCAATACATTTGAGTGGGGATGATTACTTTTCCACTTGCTTTTCTCTCTATCTGTGGGTCTGTATGCATCAATGCTAAAAATCAGACTTCTGGGCATCTCAGGGCACTTCTGGCCAACCCTCCAAACAGCACTGATCTTTCAAGCACAATGAAGCCCCCTGCATTAGACCCCCGCATGCGTGCAAACCGCCTCCTTCGGACCCTCTGAACTCTCATCCCCATGTCTCTCCCGACTCACCACCTCGGTGAAGTGGAACAAGGTCAAGAGCTCCTCCTCCAACCAGCACCGCGCGTCCCCACCGGATCCGTTTGCGGTGGCCGGCTCGGCGGTGGCCACCACGCGGAAGGCGGGATGCACCGGGCGGAAGCCTTCGGCGCCTTCGGCGATCGGCGGGCGCGAGGTGTGGGTGCGAGGTTTGGGGGCGGATTTGAAGGGATTTGGAGTTTGGGGCAACCGGATGTTGAAAGTAGAGTAGATAGAGTTGGCAGGTGGACAGTTGGAGTGCTAGAACAGTCTTCTCTGCTGGGCATCTCTTGGTATAATTAGTCTACGCCATGCCCAACTAAGTGGAAGGGTGTGGACGAAGTTCGGCAGCGCCAAGCGACACAGTGCAGCAGTTGACCAGCCACGCTCCAACCATTGATCCCACTGCTCCTGCACCACTGGTCCGATTGAGGTCGGTGCGTGTCCAACGAGACTGAAAGTTCACAAGTGCCGGAGATTGCAAAAAGACATCTGCATCACAAGACAGTCTCACCTTAACATGAATCCATGATAATCCATGGCTGGGCAACTGATTCAAGAGAAATAACATAATGGTGAACGACTCAAGTTCCATGCCTTCAAACTGATCATGCATGTTAGTGAGAGGCTTTGCATGAGGAATTCTTGTCCCAATATGTCAATATGTCCCAATGCTTCCACCTCCTGCAGCACTCACACCCACGGGTGTGGAGCCCAGATCCCGCCTGGGGCACCAGGCGAGTGCCATCCGGTAGCGCGCCTTCCCGGTCCGTCAGCAGCCGCCCCACCGCGCCCGCCAAGGCACCGCCCGGCAGCCGATGCACGCCGTCCAGCACAGCCAAGCCACCCTCCAAAGCCGCCTGCGGAGCTGAGGAAAGGAGGGAAGACATCCCCCCTAAGGTCCTGGTTACCTAAGTAGTTCCCCAAAGACACTGGAAGTGGTTCCACTATAGTTTTGAATTGCTTTTTTCATACACCCGAAGACCCGCGCCGTGCCTGGTGGCCGTGTGGTTCGTGTCGGCCACTATCCGTTTAAGGTCCACCCTGTGCGCGGATAGCGCATCACAATGCCCCAGGCCTGAAGAGGTTACCATCCAAGTTGGGTGGCGCTTTTGGGATCGATCCTCCTGTCCCTGCAGTGCCCCGCGATCTACCGAAGCACGATCGGCCCGAGGAAGCCCTGACCGTCGGGCGCGCGCCTGGATCAGCGGCGAGGGCTGCCAGGTGGTGTTGCCCCGCTCGTCGGTGCTGCGCCGCAGCGTCAGGTCCCGGGCAGTCATGTCCTGGCGGGTTTGGGGCTTGCGGAGCATGTGAGAGTGGGGCAGTGGAGGGTTCTTGGTTCAGAGTCTCTGAGGCCCAGGAACCTCAGTTGGATGAGCAGGGGGCAGCACCTTTCGTAAGGGATCATCAATTGGAAGCCCCTACACTGCTTCTGGATCTCCAACACCCCCCGAAAGGTCCAGGTAGAGGCTTGCGATGAGGTTCCAAGTGACGGCCCCGAGAGGGTACCGCACCTCTCATTCCGAAAACTCTTCCAAGTCGATCTACCCCGCCATCTGATACCCCAAAACATGCCCAAATGCTTGGAATGCTTGGCTCTGCATCTGCTTGCCAAGTCTGGCTGGCGGTTTGCCACACCCTCTCCTTGAAGCAGAACACCGTGTAAGTGCGATAGCCCAAGACTTCCGCGAAGGCACGGCTTAAGGCGGTCTTGCCCACGCCCCTCTCACCCACCAGGCAGAGGTCCATTCCTGTGTCCAGCTTGCAGAAGGGTAGCTCAAGTAGTTCCAGTCTTGACCCTAGGCCTAGTCTGGAAGGGGCTACAGTAATCATCTGCCTCTTCCAACTATGTCAACCATCTGCCTCACTTGGGCTGTTGCTTTCGTTTTGCGAAAAGGAAAAGAAAACCTGTCACAGTTGGAAAACATTCAGGTAGCTAACTCCAACGGAGTCTCGACACTCGGAATGGGAGGTTCTGGGTTTGCTGTCTATCTTTGCTATGTCAGGCGCCCTTCGGAAAAAAAAGGCCAAGGCATCAGGTAGGCTGGAAAACCCGTGGACTCGATATGCATTGAGACAGAAGGCATCAGCTTATGGTGACAGACTACACCCACTTAGAATATGTTTGTGTCTAAATGTTCGAGCCTACACTTAAACAAAAAAACAAAGAGATGCAAATGCACTTAGCACGTTGAGACTCAGAACAAAAACCGCTCACTTATAGAACATAGGTTGTTTCCAAAATATATTCCAGTGGTTGCCCATAGGAGCCTACTGTATGCATTCTTTTGGCAAAAGTTGCAGCTCCCCCTGCAACGCTGCAACGCTTCACATGGTTAAGGCTCATCACTAGGGCCTATGGTAGCAATACACTACACTACACAAATACACAGATAGACTATGGCACCAAACGGTCCCTAAACCTTACTGCACTTTTTGCCTAGACTACCAAGACCATTGAACAATGGTTGACCTGGTTTTGTAATGCAGAATCCTTAGTCAAGCAGAGTTGTTCGGTGCAGCCTAGTAAATCTACGGTGGGAATTCTACGTACTATAGGGTTTTCAGTCGCCCCTTCCACTACCGGTCGCCTGCCGCATGATCTCGCAGCATCTGCCCCAGCACCGCCCGCTGCACCGGCGCCAGCCGCGCCAGCACCGCAGCGTGTCCACCTGCCGGGCCAGTTGCGCCACAGGGGCAGAGCGCGCTGCAGTCGCCGGTGGCCTCGTGTGGAGTGCAAAGAGTGGGGGGAGAAGCCTTTCCATCCCCATTCAAAGCCTGGAAGTGGCACATGGCGCATCCCAAGACCAAAACTGGATCCACATGCCCTTAAAGAATGTGCTTGGACATTCTGAGAAAGTATGTGAATCCTTGGGACAGACCATCCACCAAAATTCATGACCTGGATTCGCCATGCTGTGCGCCTAGCAAAAAACAGCGGCCAAGCCTTGGAGAAGGAACACCATCAAAAAGTGATTGAAATCCTGAACCATTCGCGTTTCTTGATGCATTGATGCTTGTGGTACGACATTGGTTTGATGTGATGTGTTGAAGCGATTGGTTTCTGATGTCTTTTGGATCTGTTTAATTTCTCGACCGAACACCTTCTGAACGTGGCAGAGAATATCATAAACAATCTTAGCCATGTAGTACATAAGTCCCGGGCTATGGTAAGTTAAGGAGAACCAGGAGGCGTCTATTGTGCATAGAGAGGACCCTGCCTCATAGGAGAACTCCTTGTAAGCTCCATGCCTGTCATTTATAATCCCTAGGGCTCCTGGCCCATCTCCTCAGGAGGCAGTTTGACCCCCCCTGGCACCCACCCCAACCGCCGAACAGCAGGAGGTGGTCGGTGGTTGGAGCTCTTGGAGGTTGGAGCCCTAGATGTCTTCCCCCTCTTCAGCTGGCCGGTCTTGCATCACAAGAATGCTACTACTGAGCCCTTCCACGAGCCAAACCCAGGCCCAGCCGCGTTCTGAAAGCACACCCGGGCGCAGTGCTCCTCTGTGGCACTTGCCGAGGTCAAGCGCTGGCGGTTGGGCAGTCCGCAACAACTGGACGATGTCAATATCTTGGGACTTGCAGATTTCAGGAACCGGACAAAATCTTCCCCACCAAAAGAGGTAGCCAGTGACCCCAGAATAGGACCTTACTCGGTTACCCTGGCCTGGGATAGGCGAAGGGCGTCGGGTCCTGACCAACCTCTGTTGGTACATCGTCCCCAGCTTCAGGAAATTCACCAAGTGTGGGGCACATCGAACATCGAACATCACCGCACCCACCAGGACGGTGGAGCGGTCGGAGCCGCATGGGCGTCGAACCTGTGGTCAGAACGGTTTCAACGGCAACCGAAGAGTTCCAGAAACCCCAATAAGATCCTACGGAGGTAGCCAGTGACCTGAACTAGGACCCTACAGGAGTACCTATAGTCGAACAGTCGGGTTCTGACCCACCTCTGCTGGATGGCAATGGCCGGGTTGTTTGGAGATTTCCTAGCCTAGCCATGACTTGAGAGTTCGGTTCACCTCATGTTTTGTAGTCTAAGTTCCTCAGTGCAACGGTCCTTTGGTGAAACACCGCCCCGTCACGGACCCGTCACGGAACCGCGAAATCGACTTCCAGCTCCGCGTCTGGAGCAGAAATCAAACCCCCCGTTGACTGTTGACTTCTCCACTAAGTCACTAAGTATAGTATAGGATGTAGGGCCCCCCCACCAAAAAAAAAAGAGAACAACTCCACTTCTCCATCATCGTCCTGCAACTTCTCCACTTCTTTCAGGTTGTACCCCTCACCACTGGCACTCGGTAGCTCGAGCTGGTGCATCTTCAAAGCGGCTTGGACCCCGGTGCGCTGGGCGGCGCTCAGCGGCAGCAGATTCCAAGGGAAGGCGCTATGAAGCGCTGTGGCCTGCGTTGTCGTGGCCATCTGGCCATATCTGAATATATCTGAATACAATAACTCCAAAAGGCCCTAAGTATGTCCAAGCGCATCCAAGTGCAAAAAACAGTTGACTATCCTTCTCTTTTCTTGGGGATTCTGTGCCTCAAATGCGGTATATATAATAAGTGTCTTCTCTGCTGAGGTGCTTGGATGGCTATCTGACCATTCTCATCTTCTGAGTATTGGAAGAGGGGGATGGGTTTCCTTCTCAGAACTGAAGAGTTTGCGGAGTTGAAATTGAAGGACCCTACCAATCGATACAAATCCGAGCGTGCACATCAGTCTTCAGCAAGTCTTCCAAAGAAATGGCACCAAAATTCCTCTACAAAACGCCGATCAGGAGGACCTCCAAAACACAAGCTTGCACTCTAACCTCCGGGCATGGCACATTGGAGCGGTCTCGCCTCAGGTAAGGCTGGAAAAAGCTTCAGCAGCTTCATCACCGAAAGCAGTCCGAACTCCGGAAACCGCGGCAATCGAATCTGCTCCTTCTGCTCCGATCTCCTTGGCGGCAAGGCGGCTCCGATCTCCAGGCTCGGTGCGGTGATGGTTGGATCGCGTTCTTCGAGATTCGGCGGGCCCCCGACATCTGTCTTATAGAAATGTCTGTTTGTTGCACGCCAGGTGCGGAAGATGCTTTAATTACTATCTGAACGTTGTCCCCCCAGGGTCCGCTTTTCGCATATCCCAAGGTGCCATAGCGCCACCACGGCTGTGAGCCTGTGGAAAGGGGGGGGCAGCCATGCATGTTGGATGAAACAGGCTCGGAAATGCTCAAAAATAGAGATCTTGGGCCACGTGACACGCGTGTTGTTCCACATGTTAATCTGTTTCATGATTTCCCCCACTTCTTCTGAACACGAACTGAACCGCAAGTAATTGCTTCACCCACTTCGTTGCCAAAAACGACGGGACCCTCCGCACTGCCCGCGCCGCGCGGGGCTTCTTCCACCTCTTCAGCAGCTCCGTTCGTGCACGTCCCTTCTCCACCGCGCTCGCCGCCACGTCTCCCGGCACGCGCTTCGCCGCGAAGCGCGAGCGCAGCGGCGGATCCAGGGCCGTGCCCGGGTAGGGCGGCACCGGTAGGCCGAGGGCGATGACCAGGAAGTTCCTCGTCCCGCGGAACAGCGGAGGGCGGACGGCGTTCTGACCCCCGCAGGTGTGGCATGGCAGTTCTGTGGAGCTGGGGAGGCCGAACGTCCGTCCTAGTCCAGGTCGGTGGTGCAAGGCTTCAGACTACCAAGAGAGGTAGCCAGTGACCTGAACTAGGACCTTACTGTTGGCCTTTGGAGTTCCAATCGGGGAGCCAAATATACCCTGGGAGTCAAGTCGACTAGAAACAGAATGGTCTGACTAGGGGAACTTCCTTTACCCAGCCGGTCAAAATATAGTGGACTTCTAGGGTATATACACTCCCGAAAACTAACATAGACCCTGACAATGGTCCCATGGAAGACCATTTTCCTCTACCAACCAGGGGTTTTTGAGGTTCCATGTTAGTCTTCTAGGGTATGTCGAGTCTTTGGACTAGTCTTTGGATGTCGAGTCTGTGGACTTCTAGGCTGCCAACCCTCAGTTCCCAGGGCCTTTCAACGGTCGGCACGGCGCACCGTACGGCCGGTCGGCACGGCGCACCGTAGGGTCGACATCGCCGACCGTGAGGAGTTCAAACGACCAAAGCGACGAATGGGACTGCCGAGAGTTCCGGCCAGGGGTGGTGGTGTGGGGGTCAATGTATCCCCGGCTGAAGTCCAGTTGGACTATATTTTGACCGGCAGTAAAGGAAGTTCCCGAACTCAGTTCCCCTAAAGACCATTCCTTTTTATAGTCTTTGACTCCCCGGGTATAGGATGGTATAGGCATATATTTCCAGTCCCATGGAGTGTAGGGGTAATCGCCTTGGAACAGTCTGCAGTATTTGTCTGCCCGCAACTGGTGCAAAGGCCAAGGTTCTTCGACACCGGCAACAAGCGCCTTCCCCCTTGCGCCGCTTCTCGAATCTCCTTCTCTCGACCCGGTGCCATGAGAAAACTGCCGTCTTCCAGTGACATCTCACGGTTTTCCAACAAGTTGTTCAGCAAGGGCAAGACGTTTCGCTCCGCTTTCCTCGAATGGAAAACGGCATGTAAAACGGCCATGAATTTTCTCGGGGGAGACAAGGTGCTGCGCCACAACCGGTGCAAAAGAAGCCTTATTTCGAGGGGGACTGCCTTCAAGCTTTCGGAAGGCCTTCACAAAAAACGCGGCTCCAATCGGCTTTAGCACGCTGAAGCTTGTTAAGATCAACATCAAAACACGTGCCCACCACCAAACACACATATGCACAAAAAAACAGCAGCGAGAACATGCGAGAACCAAAGCAAAACGACCATGCCAACCTGCCAGCCCGAGTGGCTGGACGCCTTCCAAAATCAGCAGCCGCCCTCTGAGGGCCGCTTCGACCGCTGGGGCGTTGTGGAACTGAAGCTCTCCATCGCAGATCTCGCGACGCTGCTTCCTCGTGGGGCGAGTCCGCTGCAAGCAGCGGGATCGGGCTGACACGGAAGGACGTTCAAATTTATGGAGTACCCGAGAAATCCGGCCATCTTGCCGCATCGGTTTTATCCAAAACAAGATTCGATTCACTATCGCCTTTTGGGCAAACGATGACTCCAGCTGGACTGGTTTATCAGGTGCTTCGCCAGAAAAGCATGGGCTCCACCCCCTAGGGCTCCTGGCCCATCTCCTCAGGTGCGGTGCTTAGACCCCCCTGGCACCCACCCCTGGCCCACCAAACCCACCTCAGGTTCGGTGGGCCAGGAGCCCAAACGGGACCAGGAGCAACCCGTCCAAGCATCAAATCTGCTTCCGTCGTGTCTCGCGTGATGCCGATGTATTCCACCTCTCGTCCCGTTCCTCGGCGGGAGCACCGGGTGGACCAAGGGGGACATCACGAATCGTGTCAGTTTGTGTCAAGGGTTGCACTGGGACTGGGCCTCGCTTAAAAAAGCACGACTACCAAGTACATCTATAAGTACTATACTGTTACTACAGCCAAATTCTTCTGCAGAGACTTCCTGGTGCCAGTGTCCCAGATGAAATCGCAACATATCCCCAATTTGGGCCTTCCGTTCGGCCAAAAAGAACCGGCGCTTAGGTCCAACACATCGTCTAAAACATATGGGTTCTTTGTCTAAAGCAGGCTTCAATCCAATGGACCACCAGCTGTTCCGATCGATTCCGCCAAGCTGCGAGCCGCGAACTGCAAGGCCACGTTGCGCAGATGTGGCCCTGGGTCGCCCAGCAGAAACATGTCCTGGGTCGTCCCAGGCTCGAAGCGAGGCGCTGCTAAGTGACGGGGCGCCGCGCCAAGAGAAAGCAAAGCGTCGGAAAGCGAAGCACCGTGGACTTCTTCTTTCAGGTCGCTGTGCGGAGCGGAGAAGAAGCAGAAGAAGAAGCAAAGAAGCTCTGGAAGAAAAGCGTGACTGAAGAAGTCGTGTAGAAGCTCTTGACGATGGAACACTACGGAATGTGATTAAGAACGGGGCACAAGGACTAGACTAATTATATAAGTTTGTGTTGTCATTGTATGTGTGGTTAAAAATTGAAGCAAATATATATGTATATTCTTTATGTGGTTGTATACTATGGTTACTATGCATGGTTATATAAACTTATTATGTTGTGCATGCCATTCAACCAAGCATCTTGTTTCAAGTAGCACTTCTGCGCCATCCACATGAACAGCTCCTCGTTCCCAGGCACTGAGGACCCTCGCACCGCCGGCACTGTGGGCACTCGCAGCCGTGGCCGAGCACCGCTGTGCCGTGCCGCTGGCGCGGGCGCGACGTGCAGCGGCGGCGGTGATGGGAGAAGACCTCAAGAGACCCTGACCAAGAGCCAGCAGAGGTTGAAGGACCCTAGTTCGACTATCCCAGTTCGATACCCCAGGTAGCTACCGGGTCCTATGGTCCCGGTCACTTCACCTACCTCTCTTGGAGAGGTGGAGGGATCTGAAAAAGGACACCAGGCTGGGTTCAGACTCTGTTCGGGGGGGCATCACTTGAAAAGCGACTCCTTTCCCGAAACCGCCTTCCGTTCGACCATGAAGAGAGTAAGGTTGACCTGTAACTTAATTAGTAGCTAGCGCTAGTGCAAAATCCATTGTAGAAGAATAGTCGTTCAGGATTCAGCTCATGCCTTGGGTCTATCCTAATACCTGGGCCCAGTGGATGATGATGGTTGGTAGAGGCCTTGTTCAAAAATAGTGATGTTCTTGTTTACTGACTCTTGCAGGTAAGTTCGGACAGACCCCATAATCAATGATACGGATATGTACGGAATATTATACACGTTGTGCCACATGTGTTCAGCCCACGACCTGAAAACATCCTCTTGGGACAAACCCTACTTTTGTCCTGCATCCTGCTCTATGACTCTATGGTCTATAGTTTTTTGCGAATGTTTGGGGATAGAGCCGCAAAGAATAGACAGGTGAAGCCTTGTGGCAAGGATCCCTTCGCACATGAATTGTCATCCATCCACTTGAACCGTCACCCCTCTATCACTTGACCATGGGGACATGATGGGCAAATCCGGGCCACCTGAAGCTCCATTGCGCGTTGCCTCCGTGGACTGCAAAGCTGTCTTCGGCGTCTCCGGTGGAGGCCATGCGACTGCAGGGGAAGCAGAAGCCTCCTCTTCCTCAGTCATGTTCTGAGCGACCCAGGAGGTCATCTCTGAAAACGGCTTTCGGTATATGCAAGAAGAATGCGCACTCCAAAACAGCCGCACAGCTGCGATCTCGGAACGACCTAATAGTCCTCGTGCAATGCTAATCACCTACGCTGTCCCGTTCGAACTCAAGCACTTGCAAGATCTTGTAAAGCTACCTGGATTGTTGAACTGTTGAACATGGATCCAAGGTTTGACTACAATGCTGACGATGTCAAAGATTGTAAAATACCACCATGAAGTTTGGGTTGTGTTGCATTGTGGTTTAGTTTGTGTTTTGCCTTGGTTATCACAAATCACGTGGGTGGAGAAGGACTTCTGGATTACCACTCCATTGTCTATAGTCTATATCATTATATATCAGTCTATATCAATGTGTCATTGACGTGGTCATATGCCACTTCTTACATGCATGTTTTGCACCACGGCATGAGCTGGAGATGCCTTCAGCACCCTCTGGAATGCCACCATTCAGTGGGACGATAAACATTCAAACTTAACAGCTTGTCGTCATCATCGAGTCAAACAGCAAATGGTCGTATCAGTATCCTGCTCGCCTCCTTAGGAGCGGCCAAGCAACGCTTTGCGAGGACTCACCCAACCAGACTACAAACCAGGCAACGGCGATGGCCAAACTAAAAACCAAACACACTGCACAATGAAAGTCGAGGACACGGCAAGTTCTTTCAAACCAACACGACGTATTGCCCGAAAAAAGAAACTGCCAAAACAGGGACGCTGATGAACCCAGCTGACACTCCAGCTGACAACCCCAATAGCAAATCTCCGCAATCTACAAAGTGGTCTGTTCTTATTCATGTGAGAAAACAACACCCAGCAAGCTGCAAACCCCGCACCAACCCATCGGCCGCGATGTTCTCTCTGTTGCTGGGCGGTTCTGTCTGACTGCCCTTCAAGTGCCCTCCCCCTTTTTCGCACACCAAAGCAACCGTGTGGACACGAAATACCAGACCCAAGAGCCCACTAAATGTGTCTTTGGTCCAGACAATTGGGTGAACTTCAATTTCGGTCTTCTTATGACTTGAGAAAAACAGCTATTTTGGCCCTGAAAGTTTGTCAATATTCAATGTCGGAAGTTGAAACAAACTTGAGAGAGGAGGGGGTGAACGAAAGGTAGCAGGCAATCACAAGTAACCCTGGTAGAAGTCCATGACGGCGTGAACCGGCGCAGGGGGGATTTGATCCAGGGGGGGGGGCACGACGAACAGAATCAACTCTTACAGGACCAAACTCAATGCACAATCCCAACTCCTGATTGTAATACATTTTTGCTAAAGCAAGGGGAACTCAGGTAGCTCAAGCTACCTTTCGTGAATTCATGGTTGCCATGAATGCTTTGTATTTGGAATGATTCATTTGGCGTCCTAAACACTGGGTAAACTTGGATTTCGGCCTTGAAAGATTCAAGTTTGGCCTTGAAAGAAGAAAGTTATCCCCAAAAAACACTGCCCGCATCTGCATATCATGACCTATCTGATAACATCAAAAAAAAACATCTGAGTCATCTGATATATAATCTTAGACATTCCGAGTCTCTGACACTGATCCCTCATCCACCATCAAGGACTCCAAAGACGGCGGCCCTCCCACCGGCGCTGCGACAGGGATAGCAGGGACCGGTGGCTTAGCTGCGGAGGTCGTGGCAGGCGGCTTGGCCACGGGCAGAGTCTCATCCAGCTGGTCGAAGTCGAACATGGCACCGCGCCGGCGCGGTGCCCGTGGCGGGGGTTCCGGAGGAGTGGTGAATGGCAGGATGCTCACAAGGAAGGGGAAGGCCACATGGTGAGGTCTTGGGAGTTGATGGGTTGGGTTTGGTGGGTTGATTGGGCGGTCCCGCTTGGCGGGGGGGGAGGTCGCCGTAGAGCCCACTGGGTCGGTGGGACGGGGCTTGGTGAGTCTGGAATGGGTGGTTAAAAAGTGGCGGTCCAAGAACCCAAACGCCTTCAAAAAGCAGGTCGTCTTTCCTGGAACCCGATTTTGTGACATCCCTTCAGATGAACCTGCGAGCTGTTGCGAGCTATTTTGAGCTCCTATCAGCCAGAGTACCTTCGGTTGAGCGAAGGTCAAGAGTCGGTGTGAGAGTTCTCAGTTTGGGGTCTTCAGCCAGGGGCACACTTCTTGAATTGAAGCCATTGAGCAATGTGTGCGGTGTACGTACCATTCCTCTACAATCCTTATGTAGGTAATGTCCAGCAAAAGCGGGAAATGACGTCGAGCATCCTCAACTACGAGTACCTACTCTTCCGCACCTCCCATCTAAACAATGTAGTCTCAAAGCTTGGCGAATCCGCAATTTCAAGTGATCACTCCAGGTGTGGCTGACTCCCGATGCCGTTCCAAAAAATGAAGCAAACTTTCCATCTGTTGGTTTCCACTGGACAGCTACAGTGGTCTTAGAATAGATGGCGCAAAGTTACCCCAAATGGTGGCGCAAGTTGCCCCAAGTTTGGTGGCTTATATGGAACCCCATTCTCTAAGACATCTTGGGCCTGTGCCATCTGAAACCACTGTATCATACTGTGGGCCCCCCGAAAGTTCGGTTGGATCAGGTGATCCACTGCTGAGCTGGCCCAATTCTTCGTGATCACCTCGCTCAGCACGTGGGGCGCCGCACTCCATGCAGCTCGTGGTCTTGATACTCGCTCAGCACGTGCGCGTACTTGTCCAAGACCGCCAGGCGAGACCTGGGGAGAAGGATCAGGGTCTCGGGTCGGAGGCGCATGGACTATTCTCAGCGCTGGCAGCGAAGATCCATTTCAGAAATGGGATGAAACGGGTATACATACATATGTACATACCAATTGTAAAGCAGGAAAGGAGGGGTCATAACGGACGTTTTGTTTATGGAGCTTGTATCAGCACGCACGGCAGAAACGGGGAGTGTCACTGGGTGTGTCCTAACGCTTTGTCCAGGGATCTGGTATCAATGCGCAGGGTAGATAGGGGGGTAAAACGGAATTTGTTGGGAAATCTACGACACACCTGCACAAAGATGGGCCTAAACACAAGTTGGCACCAAGTGTGCTCTCACGTCCGAACCATCCGAATCATCTTCAGGCGCCACTTGTTCAACGTCCCACATGTCTCACAGCTGCGCCCTTTTCGCGGCTGTTCCTGCAGGTCGCACCTCGACCTCCATGCTCCGCGAACAGTTCCCCCCCAGCTCCCCCGCTGCCCGTCTTGGCCGTTTCGCTCGCGCCGTTGCGCCCCGGACGAGCTGATGCCGCCGGAGTCGGTGCCCGCAAACGTGCAGCGCAGGCGGACGTCCTGCAGGGTCCGAGGCGGACGGATCAGGGCTGTTGGTGGTGGTGGCCGGATCTGGAAGGGTCAAGAAACCTTGAGAATCTTCGTGTGCCTCAGCTATTCGATATACTCCCTCTCAAAATCTCTATCAACGCTTCCCCCACTTGCTTTTAGGATAAGTTTGTTACTGTTAGAATAACTTTCCTCTCCCTCTCAAACCCAACCGTCGTGCACGTCTTTCGTGCAAACATCGCCATCACCCATCATCGATCTTTGCGCTCCTTGCGCCGAAACAAAACCGCGCGCGCGCCACATGTCTCGCGGTTCAACCCGTGTGAAAAACGGGCGCGGGCGGAAACGGCGGACACCTTCAGTACCAGGTAGGAGTCGCCATACTGCCGCGCCGAGATCACGCCCCGATAGTCGTTCATGACCTCAGTCTCAGCTCTTGATGAGCCGAATAGGCCAGGGGCCAACAGAGCCGGTCGCAGGGGCGGAGATGATCCAGAAAGACCAGAAATCTATACCAGGGCCCCCTGTTTGGGAAGTCCAATAATAGCTCCTTAGATCTCCTTAGAGGTTTATGAGTGTCTATTAACATCTATTAACCACCCCTTAGGGAGCCTGGTCGAACTCTTCTTGGAGTTATGGAGGGATCCACAGCCCTAGCCCCAAACTGCCTAGCAACTGCCCCCCCCTAGCTGGATGGTCATCTCAGGAGTGATCTATGGATGATGGAAGTTGCATGTCTTCATTTATTGGTTAAGGTCACAAGCAACTTGGACATGTCAAGCCCTAGCCCATGCTCTTCAGCTGGCTCTCGGATGGCTTTAACCTGGTTTAACCCACATGGTCGGGATTTGGCCAGGCCAGGCCCGAACCAAGTGCCGCGCCCCAGGGCTTGCAAAAATTGCTGATAGCTTCCAATCGATTTGTTCACATTCCAGGACCCTAATACCCTGGTTTCCTACCTGAGCCGCGCGAATCGCCTCCTTCCTCGCCCAGCTGGGCCACCCAACGCTCAGCGCACCATACTTGGGCCGATCGAAGGGCTTGGCCCCGTCGTAGGCACCGCCAAAGAGCACCTCGAGATCAGGAGTCTCAAAGACGGGTGCCAGGGGGGTCTAACCACCTTCTGAGGATATGGTTGGAGCCCTAGGGTATATACTTCTCCTTCGTGAAGTACCGGGATCTTCTCGAAATCAGCTGCTTCTGTCACAATTGAATCCCTAGAAGCCCAAGGTCGACTATATGTTTGGCACTGCAAGTGGGCACCACCGAAGCAAAGGAACTTCCTCCTTTTCACCTAAAGACCTGGCCTATAGAAGACATCTAAAGGCATCTTAAGATTAAGACCAACTTTGCACGGTCAGTAATACCCTAGAAGTCCAGTTCGACTCTATTTTGACCGGCTGAAGTGTTCAGGAAGTTCCCAGACTCAGGTCCCCGTTCGTCAGACCATTCTTTTTATAGTCGACTTGACACCCAGGGAATATATAGACGACCGGACTGCCAGAAAGCATGCAGCAGCTAGAACATGTGTAAGTAAAAGATGTGGATCAAGGGTCCGAAGCTGATCTCTCCTGTGTCACTCTTGGTCACACTTGGGGCTTCAAACGACGATCAAAGACACCAAAACAGCTATGCCCTGGGAGTCAAAGACTTTATAATTGTCATTTTAGGGGACCAGGAAGGGAACTTCCTTTACTTCAGCCGGTCAAACTATAGTCTTTGGACCTCTAGGGGTTACAGCATGAGAATCTCAGGATAACCCAACCAAAAACATCTCGATGTGGGCCCCTTGGCGTGAACAGCTCACCTTGGAAGCCCAGTTCCCACTGCTTCAACGCTTCCCTCCACCTCTTGATCCCCCCTCGCTCTTCTCACCCGCCGCGCCCCCGCCCCGCGCCCCAACGCCCTCGCCGTGCGCGAAGTCGACGGTCGACGGTCGAGCTCGGCACGTTCTCCCAGTTCTGCCGGGTCCGGTTTTCCGGGTCCAAGGCCTGGACGCGAACCCGGAGCGGAGCCAAGCCGTCGGAACAGAACGCCGGAGGGACTCCTACAGAGGTAGGTTAAGTGACCGGACCCCTCAGACCCGTCACCAGCTGTACTTATAAGGAGAGTCGAACTAGGGTTCTGACCCACCTCTGCGAGGTGGGAGGGGGCTGAGTCGAGAGGACGATCCACCTATGAGGTCCAGGTCTCCAACGAGTCTCCTTCAAACGGGTTGGGGAAGGGACCCCAGGGAGGGCCCAATGGAGGCCGTGGGGTCCTCTCTAAGTGGTCTCATTGTTGGGTGATCCTGTTGGAGGGGGGTGGGACAGATTCACCCTAGATGGGTCGAATCCCGAACCATGGGCATGATATAACATAACCCATGCTTTACAAAAGGTCTGTCCCATATTGATGGGCCGGGCAAATGATCAGAAATCGGAACTGGTTGCCAGTGGAAACCCCGAACAGAATTTTCCCATTGATTTTCTTGCATGCTTCGTACACCCTCTCATGGCCCATTGGGGACGCGCCCCAAAAACGCCCAGAAAGCCGCTGGACAACAACAGCAGGTCAGGCATGGTCAGGCCAAACGAAAGCCGCTGGTCTTTCGCCCCAGGGGCTCCACAACTGGTCTTCGTCTCAAACTGGTTGCGGTAGAACTCGTCCACCTGCGACCGCCAGAACGCCGGGCGGAAGGTGAGGCGTGGTGAGAAGTCACCGTGGTGAGTCACACCATGCTCAGTAGCCACGTAACGAGTGGCCACGACCCACACCAGCAGTCACCAGCATGCAAGGAGTCCGGGGTCGAAGAAGGGCGATCGAAACCACTGCAAAAGCCTGGGCCGGCTGCTGGCATGATTGGCATGTCTGTCCAGCTTCGCCCGTCCCCGGCGAATCTGGGCCAGGTGCCTCGAGGAAGGCACCCACGCGATCCAAGTGCACATGGACCACCACGGGTGCCAGGTCCTGCCGGATGGCCGAGGATGGCCAAGGTGAAAACATCGAAAGCCCGGGATGAAACCGGATGTCATGGATGAAGCCCGGCCTAAGATTCCTGGCCCACCATCAATTGATGAGGCTGAATCCTGAACCAACCAAGGTGTTTGACCATGTTTTACCTATAAGGATTTGGGGCACTACAAACAACCAGGTCGACCATTTTAAACATGGTCTTGCACTCCCAGGGTGCTGGCTTTGAGAGGTTGGGTCAGCGAGAAATATGACCTAGATGGACTCCCCGGAGCAGTTGTTTGGTGCTACGAAGAGCGCCAGCGCCCTGGAGCGCCATCTGGAGCGGCACGAACGGCTTTCAGAACGGTCCCTGGGTGACATGAGATGCAGACGACTGGAGTTCTTTGGGTGTAATGATGGTCAACAGAGTTCAAATCAAGGAATGGAGGGCACGATGATGACAGGGCGCCGGATCAGCGACTCGTTGTTTCTCCCCGAGGTTCTTTTCCGAGTTCTATGCCAGGCATGCCAACCCGACAGATGGAAAGAATCCAGCCATAAACCTGTGGAGAAAAGAACACCCAAAACATCGGAGCAGAAAGTGATGCAGCTGCTTGCGGCTCGAACCAGCCGTCTGGCACTGGCAGGCGGCCAGGCCCGTGCCCAGGTCCGTGCCGTCCGTCCGCTGCGTCCGTACGTCTGGACCCGCTGCTCCTGAATCCAGTCCAGCACCGTGCCGAGCATGTCGTCACCTCGAAACAAGGGGTGACGGCGCAGAGGGAAACTCTGCGGTGGCCATGTCTGAGAGAGGTGTTTTGAGACCTGAACGTTTGGACCCTGGTCTACATATGGGATGGGCGACCGAATGGGCTGTTCAACCTCTCTTGGTTTCTGAGAACGTTTGGAACATGCGCAACCTGCTGTGGAAAAAAGCTGAAGGGTAGGCTGATCTACAGTCTTCCAGTGGGTGGCTGGGGGCCTCCCTATTCGAAATAAAGAGGCTTAGAGTATGGGCTATAGGGGTTCCTCAAAGTACCAGCCCAGTGGTAAAGCAATCCGAAAATGTAGACTCTTGAATATAGTTCAACAAACCGGGTCTGAAAAGGGTGTCCAATCCAAGTGCTGGATAAATATTTAGCCATTTTGACCCTGCAGCCGCGCAGCCTCGCCCCACTCAGCTGCTTCAGGCTCTTCCGGTCAAAACCGTTCATCCCAAAAAACGTATTCCCTGGGAGTCAAGTCGACTATAAAAAGAATGGTCTTTAGGGGACCTGAGTTCGGGAACTTCCTGAACACTTCAGCCGGTCGAAATAGAGTCCAACTGGACTTCAGCCGGGTCTTCCTTTCAGCTCCTCGTATCTTCTGCGGCCGAGTCACCATAACCCAGTCTCTGAAACCTTTCCCGCAGTCGCGGGAGCGCCTGGGCCGGGACGGGGATGAACGGCAGGTGGATGCTTTTGGTGGTATCTGCATCGCCTTTCCTCAAGAAACCCGATAGAGATAGTATACACATAAACATTTGGATCATCCCGTGCCGTTCAAAATCAGCTTTAAAACATTAATACCATATTATTCTGCAGTGGTACATATATGGGGTGGGGCGAAAAGGGCTCTTCAACCTCTCTAGGACTTAGATCTTCGGGGGGTTCTTAATTCTCCCCCTCTTCAGCTTCTGCGAGCTGTCGGGCATTTTTCGCAGCCCCTGCTGCGCTGTTGACCAGGCTGTTGGGCACCCCTGCATCATCGTGAAGCTTCGTCGCCTGGTGCAAAGAAAGAAACGCGTATCAGTGCCCGACTTCTTACAAATCTCCTCTAGTGTCTGAAATGCAGACTTCAAAGTAGCGGAGAGGGTGACCTGGCAGTGAGGAGGCTGGCACCAGGGCCCAATCAATGAGGGGTCTAAGAATAGCCCCTTAGAGTCTTAGAGGTTAAGGGGTGTCCATGAACCACCCCACTTTTGTGGGTGAACTCAAAAGAATCTGAGTGCTACACCACAAACACCCCCAAAATATGGTCCCTCCAAACTTACCTCTCCAAAAAGGGGTATATAAGGCAGTATACGGCATATTAAGTTTAAGGCATCATATGGCCTCACATTGGTGCCTCTCTTTTGACCATAAAATGGCAAGGAGGTCACTGTAGCCACCTAGAGTCCGTGTTCTGGTCCCATCTCAGTGACCAATTGAGCTGGTCGTTCTCTTACGTCTAGTCCCCCACATGCTGGTAGTAGTCATGACTCTTTTTACGGGTCATGCTGGTAGTAGGTTCTGACTCCATGGTTTGTTGTCATTGGACGTTATGGGCCTGTGCAGTGCACTCAAAACATCAATCTTGAAGTAGCAGGACTCATCCCGCCCAATCCCTAGTGACACAGCCCATCTATAGAAGTGAACCACTGTCATCGCCAACTGGTTTTTTCTTAGGGATCTGCAATGGAAGCACTGGCTCCCACAGTGTTGAGTGACTAGTTGTTGAGTTACTGAGTTATTTGGAGTTTACGAGTCCCATGTGTGCAATGGTGGTGCTGAGCAGAAAGAACCCCAAAGGGTAGGCACCAATGGCCTGGCGATGCAACATCCTCTTGCCAGAATGGATGACACTGAAATCCATGGTTCTCTCCGTTGGGCATGTTTTTTTGGGGCAAAATCCATCAAGGTCAGATGTGGTTCCGTCCTCACCTCCGGGGCGTGTCTTGACACGTGTCTTGGTTTGGGCACTCGTACCACCAGCCCACGGGCCACGGGCCGGTTGTAGCGCCACGGGCCCAGTGCTTTCCTCTTTGGCTTGATAGATTGCAGATGCAAGTTCCATCCGGCGGGCCCAGTGGCGGACAACCACCAAGCATTCCACAAGAATTTCGCATACTGGTTCCAGGCGTCTGGATCATCCTGCTATGAGCAGCAGGCCATCACGAACACTTCCGGCAACACCAGCAGCTCTCTTGAGCTGGAATGGATCTGAGACCTCATTCGAGCCAAACAAGGGCATTCGAGCCAAGCAGGGAGCATAGGCTGTGAAGGGCAGGCAGGCCTGGATGTCCTTCTTTCGGACAGGCACTCAGGCACTCCAAAGAGAAATTGAAACGCTGCATTTGTGGTGCGAGGCTAGCCTCACCCGCCAAATTGATCCAACTTGTGACTTTCTTCGTTTTCAGTTCTAGTCCACCTAGGTCATCCCGACATCTTTTCCTTACAAGACTCGGGCCTGGTATCTTCAGTTCTTATCCATCATTATTTTCCGCCCCACCGCCATCGGACACCCAGCCCACCGCATGAGCACCCGCCTGAGCACGGACGGTGTAGAGCGCCTTCCGCTGGCAGCTCTCGAGCCGGGCGATCGCTTGCATCTCCTTGGCGAGGAGGAGCCAAAGGCACGCAAAGAACGAGAGACGCGCCCGCTATGTCTTTTTCACCGTCCACCTCGCTGAAAATGGTTTCAAACGTTCGATGGCACTGGCACGCCCTAGGTGTCTGGAGCACAGATGGGGGTCCATGTAAACCACCCAATTTAGGGTAACTAAGGCCATCTACTCTGAAAGCACAGTACCCAAAACACTGCGTCTCGACAGAAGTCAAATGATGTCACCACAAAGAATAACAGCACAGTTTTTTGCAAAAATCCGTGGATGATGATGATGATGATGATGATGATGATGATGATGATGATGATGATGGTGATGGTGATGGTGATGGTGATGGTGGTGATGGTGATGGTGATGGTGGTGATGGTGATGGTGATGGTGATGGTGTGGTGATGATGATGATGATGATGATGATGATGATGTTCACATCACACTAAATAGAAAACGAGCCAATTAATTACATGCCTAAAAATATCCGGGTCCCTGAAACCATGCAACAATAACCTACTGCAATGATAAACTACGTACGGTGCAACAAACCTCTTTTCAGATTCAAATGCTCAGTATTGAAATACTGTCAACATGTCATTATTGTTTCCTTATTGAACCTCTGTATGGACAACCCTCATGACACAGGATTGCTAATGGCGAGGCCAAATGTAGAGGCGCTTATAAAAAAGAAAAAGTATAAGCATGTACATTTAGGGTTTGCAACCTCGACCTCTACATCCTTATTGTTTCCTTATTGAACCTTTGTACTGGCAACCTTCATTGCACAGGATTGCTGATGGCGAGGCCAACTGTAAAGGCCCTAAATTAAAATACTATAAACATGTACACTTAGGGTTGCAAACAGTTGCAAACCTCTACATCCTTATTGAACCTTTGTATTGGCAACCCTCATTACACAGAATTGCTAATGACGAGGCCAAATGTAAACGCTAGATGGGTGCATTCTGGATCATCTTGGTTGGATAACTATAGGTTGTTAATTCAGGGTGACGTCGGTGACGTTGTTATATTTTTGCCTGGATGAACAAAACACAATAACCAAAAGCTGCTGCAAGATTTGAGATTTGTTGCTATTATTCATGAATGAATAGTTTTTGTCCGCCAGAAGTTCGCTAGGGGGCGGGAGGTTATTGTTGTGATGTGAACATTACAACGATTACAATATACACATATAAATATGTACACATACATACATACATACATTACATTACATTACATTACATTACATTAATACATACATACATACATACATTACATTACATTACATTACATTACATTACATTACATTACATTA